AACGGTCACCATCTGGTGAAGGAATGGCTAAGACCGGCCTTGAGATAAATGATCACGCCTTGGCCGAGGGGCCGGTCGTGATGTGAGTATGACGTCACTGATGAAGCTGCTCGTCGTATGAAGGCGAGGCTCGCCATCCAGGAAGGGAATGGCGAGCCCGCTCGCTGGCTCAAGACGCTCGGTGCTGAGGAGGCCGGTCTTGAGATGAAGGATCACGTTGAGACCGAGGGGTCTACCGTGTTCTGAGGATGACGGCGCTGATGAAGCCGGTCCATATAAATGATGACGAAGGCGTTGATGGAGCCATTCGTCATGCAAGCTCGAGGCTCTCGGTATTGAGGAAGCCGGCCTTGAGATGAAGGATCATGTTGAGACCGAGGGGTCAGCCGTGATCAGAGGACGACGGCGGTGATGAAGCCACTCCTCATATGAAGGTGAGGGTCGCCATCCAGGAAGGGAATGGCGAGCCCGCTTGCTAGTTCAAGACTCTCGGCGCTGAGGAGGCCGGTCTTGAGATAGATAATCACGCCTTGGCCGAGGGGCCGGTCGCAATGATGAAGCCGATCGTCATATAGTGGCGATGGTCACCATCCAGGAAGGGATGGTGAGCCCGATCGCTGGCTCAAGACTCTCGGCGCTGAGGAAGCCGGTCTTGAGATAGATAGTCACGCCTTGGCCGAGGGGCCGGTCGTGACGTGAGATGGACGACACTGAGGGGCCAGTCCGAAAATCCGTGCAACGGTCGCCATCCGATAAAGGAATGGCTAAGACCGGTCTTGAGATAGATGATCACGCCTTGGCCGAGGGGTCGGTCGCGATATGAGGACGAAGGCACTGATGAAGCCGATCCAAGTAAATGATGACGAGGCGTTGGTGAAGCCGTGCGTCATGTAGTGGCGATGGTCACCATCCAGGAAGGGATGGTGAGCTCGATCGCTGGCTCAAGACTCTCGGCGCTGAGGAAGCCGGTTTTGAGATAGATGATCACGCCCTGGCCGAGGGACCGGACATGATTTGAGGACGACGGTGCTGATGAGGCCGGTCCAAATAAATGATGACGAAGGCATTTGATGAAGTCGTTCGTCATGTAAACTCAAGGCTCTCGGTGCTGAGGCTGCCGGCCTTGAGATAGATAATCACCTTGAGGCCGAGGGGCCATTCATTTTGAGGACGAGGGTCTCCATCCAGGAAGGGAATAGAGAGCCCGCTCGCTGGCCTAAGACGTTCGGCGCTGAGGAGGCCGGTCTTGAGATGAAGGATCATGTTGAGACCGGGGGGTCTGCCGTGATCTGAGGACGACGGTGCTGATGAAGCCGCTCCTCGTATGAAGGCGAGGGTCGCCATCCAGGAAGGGAATGGCGAGCCCGCTCGCTGGCTTAAGACGCTCGGCGTTGAGGAGGCCAGTCTTGAGATGAAGGATCACGTTGAGACCGGGGGGTCTGCCGTGATCTGAGGACGACGGCGCTGATGAAGCCACTCCTCCTATGAAGGCGAGGGTCGCCATCCAGGAACGGAATGGCGAGCCCGCTCGCTAGCTCAAGACGCTCGGCGTTGAGGAGGCCGGTCTTGAGATGAAGGATCACGTTGAGACCGGGGGGTCTGCCGTGATCTGAGGACGATGGCGTTGATGAAGCCGCTCCTCGTATGGAGGCGAGGGTCGCCATCCAGGAAGGGAATGGCGAGCCCGCTCGCTAGCTCAAGACGCTCGGCGCTGAGGAGGCCGGTCTTGAGATGAAGGATCACGTTGAGACCGGGGGGTCTGCCGTGATCTGAGGACGATGGCGTTGATGAAGCCGCTCCTCGTATGGAGGCGAGGGTCGCCATACAGGAAGGGAATGGCGAGCCCGCTCGCTAGTTCAAGACGCCCGACGCTGAGGAGGCCGGTCTTGAGATGAAGGATCACGTTGAGACCGGGGGGTCTGTCGTGATCTGAGGACGACTAGGTTGATGAAGCCAGTCGTCTGAAGATGAAGGGGGCGGAGCCGGTCCTATAATGAGGACGGCGAAGCCGTACTTATAATGAAGGACGACATTGAGCGCTCGTCTGATCCGTATATATGATCTTGCTTCGTCCATAATGCATAGTATTTGCCTGATATGTACTTACCCAAATATGTGGCTTGATTTGTGGGGATTTCATTTTTATTGCTCGAGGCCGGCGAGTGCTCGGTCCTCGGCTTCCCTCTTTTGATTTGTGGGGATTTCGCTCGAGGCCGGCGAGTGCACGGTCCTCGACTGTCCCTCTTTTAATTTGTGGGGATTTCGCTCGAGGCCGGCGAGTGCACGGTCCTCGGCTGTCCCTCTTTTATTTCTTCCTCTACTGCTATGAGCGAGGAGTGGGAGTCCTTCTTTCAGGCTCGACCGAGGGGGTTGCTATTCCCTCGGCCGATAGGGAGTCCGGGAGGGCAACTGTCCGACCTCTGGCGCTGGCGCGTCCCTAGACCTTGGGGGGTCCCATCGTCTATTTATGGCGCGGGCTAGGCTTTTGGTCGGTTACCGACGGCTACCGTTTCCCAACCCCAAGTGTGGGGATTTTGTCACCTCGGCCATTCTTTCAGGCCTGTCGTAATGCGATTTAGCGCGAAGACGACGCGGTGAGCTTCCCATTTCAAGACGTGGGCCGTTTGCAGGCCCCTCGTCCTGGGACATCATCGGCCATGTCTGAGCGTTTCGCTCGAAGGGGCCAGGACGATGTGCTGTTTTGTGTGGCGTCGTCGGCCATACCTGAGTGTTTCGCTCGAAGGGGCCGAAGCGACGTGCTTTGTTGTGTGGCATCCTTTACTTAAACTTTACAAGAAATAAGCAGAACACAATAGGTGCGTTGTTTATGGCAACTACTTTTATTAGGGTCAGTGGCTCGAGGCCGAGGGGGGTAACCTTCTGAACAACTCGTACAAGAGTTAGCTTCCCAATGAGTTTCTGACCTTGGGGTGGGGGCTCTGCCGTCGGCACCCTCTTCGGATTGCTGGTAGAACTTCACCGAGATGTAGGGCCCTTCGTATTTTGAGGGATAAGCCGTCTGTCGGCTTGCTGGTAGAACTTCACCATGGAGGCCCAGCCGTCGACCGTGCGTCCCTTCGAGGAAGGACACAGTCAGCGGATGTGACACTTCTTCAATTGGGGCTCCTCGAAGTCCTCGTCATCACTGAGCTTCCCAATTTCATGCTTCTTCATTGAGGTGGCCCCTTCCTGATTGCCGGTGGAGTTCCTTGGGGTAACTTTGACAAATTGGTGGAGTTCACCCCGTTGAATCAAGCGCTCAATGGCTTTCTTCAGCGCGATGCAGTCGTCTGTATTGTGGGAGATGTTCTTGTGGTAACGACAATAAGTGCCACCCTGGTGGACGGCGTAGACTTCCGTGGCCGACCAGGGATCTTTAGGGATGAGACCTTGCTCCTCCGCATAGTCGAAGATGGTATCCACCGAGTGCGTGAGCGTAGTCCTTGGGACGTCCGTCCTCGGCTGCCATGGGCGCTCCTTCCGGTTTCGGCGGGCATGGCCCCCGGCCGAGGATGCGTTTGGAGCCGACGCCTCGTCTGACCTCTTTGATGGTTGGCCTACATCCTTCTTGCGGGAGTGGAGCTCATCGGCGTCAGCGTACAAGCTCCCTCGTTGGAGTGCCTTGGTGTATGAACTTGGCGGGTCAGTGATGAGGCTCCTCGCATAGGGGCTGCTGCGGAGAACACCTTGGAAGAGGATGAGGAGGGTGCGCTCATCGGCACCTTCGACCTCGTCTGTCTCCTTTGTCCATCGGTCGATGAAAGACCGAAGTGATTCATCGTGTTGCTGCTTGATGGAGAGGAGGTGGGAGAAATGTTTTTTCACGCGCTTCCTTCCGGCGAAGTGGGTGAGGAAGCGTTGGGCAAGATCCTGCCACGAATCTATGCTTCCTTCGGGGAGCGCGTTGAACCACTCGTACGCTGGCCCTTCAAGAGTGGAAATGAACCAACGGCAGAGGTATTCGTCTGATGCGTTCACCATCAGCATGTTGTTTTGATAACGGCTGAAGTGCTCCTGAGGGTCAGAGCGGCCGTCATAGAGCTTGATGGCGTTCCCTTGGCACTTCTCGGGTATTGGGGCCGAGAGCACCCTCGTGGTGAGGGGAGTTTTTGTTCTGATTTGGATGATGGGGTCACCACGTCCGTCGGCCAGCTCCCTCTCCAGGGCGCTGACCTTAAGCATGAACGCGTGGTAACCTGGACCCTCAGATGAGTTGGCCGTAAGGATGGTGGCCGATTGTCTAGCCTCCATCTGGGCCAGTCTCCTTTCCAGCTGGGCGATGACCTCGTCCCGAGGGTCCTTGGCGGCCGTAGTCGCGCGTTGCTGGTTCCGCACGCGAGCTTCTTGAGTCGTGTTGATTCGATGGCGCGCATTGTCCTCGTGCAATTTTCCTTTGCCTTTGTCCAGGCGGGGCCGATCCGCTGTCCGGGATACGGACCCCAAGCTTCCCCTTGGTGAGCCAGGCTCACGTTCACCAATCCGTCCCGCCATCCTCTCCGAAGCAGGCTGACGACGCGTGTCACCTAGCCTATTAAAGACTGAGGCTTCTCCACGCGTTGGGGCCGGTCCAGCTCGAAGTGGGGAAGCAGGGTGGGAGTGGGATGACGACGTGTCCTGGGGCACCACCCCTTCGTCGTTGCCTAGCTTGATGGCCAACGGCTGGGGCTGAGGAGGCGGTGTAATGTTCTCCCCAGTCCTTGGCATGAGTGCGCTGAGGACGGTGGGGTTCTGGGCCAGGCTGACGATGATGGACGAGAGAGCGGCTTGGAGCTGAGGGTCAACGGCAGGAGAAGCCGGTTGCCCAGAGACGTTGTCACCCTTTTCTGCGCGCTTCTTGTCCAAGCTGATGCGGGCGTCTGGGGCGACGCCGTTAAGCTTGTTGCACAGGTCAGTGGTGAGGCCGATGGCTTCATGAAAGACATCCCCGACGGGAGCCTTGTCGGCCGTAGCGTCCTCCTCGTGTTCTTGGTTCTCTTGGGCCTCAGGGATGGCCTTGCTGAGGAGGTTGCAGTTTGACTTAGTTCTTCCCATTGTCAGTTAGCTGTGCTTGGTAGCGACGGAGGAGGCTAACTTGATTGTTCTAGCTCTCGATGAAAGCACCAAATGATGGAGTATTAACTCCTAGATTCTAGAGAGAAGGGAGAGCTAGAGAGAGAAGTGAATTGTATTAATGAATTTTGTGAACCCTTACAACTACTCCCAATGAGAGTATTTATAGAGAAAATTAGGGCTGAGCTCCCAAGTCTTGGGCTTGGGGGGCCCATTTACAACATGACCACTAATGGGCCGGATACAAAGTGTATAGAAATGATAAGTATAAAATCTTGTTCTAGAGGCTATCTATGGATGACGAGGGCACGGCCGACGAGGTCACCCGGTTCTCCGGGCTTCTGGATCATATTCTGGGTGGCCTTCTTTCTGGCCGATGAGGGCATGGCCGATGAGAGCATGGCCGATGAGAGCATGGCCGATGAGGGCACCCGGTTCTCCGGGCTTCTGGATCATATTCTGAGTAGACCTTTTCCTGGCCGATGAGGGCATGGCCGATGAGAGCATGGCCGATGAGGGCACCCGGTTCTCCGGGCTTCTAGATCATATTCTGAGTAGACCTTTTCATGGCCGATGAGGGCATGGCCGATGAGAGCATGGCCGATGAGAGCATGACCGATGAGAGCATGGCCGACGAGGTCACCCGGTGATCGTGGTACCTTCTGTTCTTCTGAGTATGTGGGTCCTGGGGCCTAGACCCATATACTCCATCAGTACATACATTAATATTTGGGCAAGAAAGTTGTGCTTCCTTTTCACAATTATCTCCTCTTCCTTCTATAAGTTTTATTTTCCAGTTCATTTATGTAGCAGCTCAATGGGCTATTGAAGCTGGTTTCAGGAACTTTGAAGTGAAGACTGATTCGCTAGCTCCATCCTGCTCATTCTTTCCGCTGATTCTGAAGGCTTCAGGAGCATTATTAGCAAGCTTCAACGGTACATTCACAAGGCTAAGATCAGTTTTCGCCATAGCTATCGAGACACCGGTTTGGTTGCTCATCTTCTAGCTCAGACAGTTTCTTTATCTGGAAGTGCTATTTTTTTCCAACATGTTCGCCTTCCGGATAGAGTATATGTGGTGCTAACAATTTGGATAGATTGAGCATTCTCATTAGATTTGTACCGCTACTTTAGGTGGTTTTCTTGGAGAGGTTTTGGCCTATATGTCCCCCTCTCATTTGTATTTTTCTGGTACTTTAATAAAATTTTGGTATAAAATAAAAAATTTTTCCCGTTCTTTTTTTTTAATTAATGAGTATACAGCATATTAGTTATCCTCATTGCATTGATAGTAATTTTGATGTTCCAAGACACTTATTGGTCCTACAATGAAATATGTTTCTAAGATAGAATGTCAGAACCTATGTCATTTCCAAGTTGCTCAATGTTAATATATAATTTGAACACAGGGTTCTAATGTAGAATGCGACAATGCGTGAACGTGCACCGATACCATATAGTTTGTAATACTAAGATTAACTTTAAGAGTACAATATGAGATTTGTAGGTTCATAAGAGTTCTATAGGTTGCAGAGCTTTGATGGATTAAAATGACAAGTAATTTGTGTTGGTTTTAATTCACACATTTACCTCCTAGAACATTGAGGTTGTTGGGTCTACACAATCATTATTTTTAGAGCCCATTTGGTAACATTGTTTTTCGGCTTATCATGTTTATCAATCAACTTTTTCATCAAACACGTTACTTTTACTTAATTTTGCGCGTTGAATTGTGTAATAATAAGAAAAAGTAAGATTGAAGTTATTTTTCTAGCTAGTTGTATCGACTGAAATTAGTGTAGAGGACTATTTTAGCTACATTTACATATAACTTTTTATTTATTTTATTAGTAAAATATATTTAAGTATATTTTTTCATAAATCAGCAGAATCAGCCAATTCAGTCACTTTAGCCGAATTTCAGAAATTTCAGAATAATCAGCCGATTCGGCCGATTTTGATACTACCAAACCGGCTCTTAAACTCCGTATTATCTCGCTTCAAATGGATAGAGCTTTTGACTCCATATCATAGTCATGTGAATATGTGATAAAGATATTTTATACATTAATTAGTTTTATAAAACTTGGTAGTTGACCAAACTAAAACTCTGATATCTTACGTAGCACATATAGGGATATCATGATATGGACATATTTGTAAATATTAAATATTATAAAACAAAAAGTTTTATTAAGTAATTCTAAAATATAGAGTTATGAATAAATTCGTGGATAAATCCTAATTTTATAAATTAATTTAAATAATTTCTGAGTTATTTATTTTATTTTGTGAGGATGTAACAATATCAATATGGATAGAATTATGTATTATTTTGACAGAGTATTAGGACACTGATCAGATATTGAACTGCAGATATTGCGGTGCTTATTTTGTAATGAAAAATGGGTCGTGAATTCCACAAAGAAGAGTCAAAAGTACTCTCTTAGTTTCACGTACTCATGGTAAAATGAGCCTGCATGCATGAAACAACCATCATCTAGATTGTATCAATTCATCCATTGCGCGCACAAATAAAGAAAACAATCATTTCCATGATAACATTAGTTCTTATGATAGTATGTTTCCTTTCACGGTAAGAATAACTACCATATGTTTGTTAGAGATTAATGTTAATATTTAGATATTTTCATGAATCTTTCGGTGTCGGAGATATTTTGATAGAAACATATATTGGGAGAACACAATGCATTAATTAGCTTCATCAGATATATGATTTTGTATGGCTCACTAATCCTTATTTTGATATGTTCTTTTGTTACTTCCATATGGGAACAATAATTAATATAATAAATAGTAATAAACTCGAATGCAGTTATAAGTCCTATCGAAAGAAGAGTGAAGTACAAGAGAGAATTTTGCTTTTCATTTGCAAAAAAGGATGAGAGTATATTATTTATTTTGAAAGCAATTTTTTTATATCAATTCATTGTTGATAAATATACATTAGTGGAATCAGTGGGGTGGATATTTGTTAGGATTCATCAGAAATAGCTATGATGTGAAATGTATAGGGGTTTACAGTGATGCATTGTTGAGGGGAGAAAATAATTCACACGCTTCTTTAATTGAAGTGATTTATTTTGTTTTTTTAATGTTTTGAAATTTCATATGATAAAAAAATGTTTTGAAATTTCATCTAAAATTACAGTTTTTTTAATTTTCTTGTCGTGCATCCTTGACAAGTTGATATCCATTTTAAATTCAATAGACAAAAATCAAATGGTTATTTAATTTTTGAAGTGTTGAAGTGGGCCTTCTCTCTCTGAGTTAGGGCAAAGGTAGTTGGGAATTTTTCACAAATAGTCCTAAGAGTATAAATAATATCACTTTTTTCACTTTTAATTTGTTATTTCAAAAATAGACTAATTTGACTTCTCTTTTCACAAATAGACGGTAGGCTCTAGCACACTCTTGTGGGAAGCTTTCGTCCCTGGAAGCGTACGTAAGTAATGTAACAGTTACAATCTTTTTGCTTTTAAATCAAAACTACAAAGTTGAAATGTCAAAAGTATCAAAATTAAAAAAGATAAAACCAAATACAAGATGTAATAAAAGTCTAAATACTGAAAGTAAAAAATTGAATTAAAAAAATTAAAAAAAAATCTCAAACTTGAAAATATGTAATTAATTTATAAAATTAAGAAAAAATATAAATTTATAACTGAATCAGAAAAAAGTTTAAAAACTTACATATAAAATTTAGAAAAATAAAGAACAAAACAATGTTGAAAAGTTAAAAATTGGGAAAGGTTGTAAAACAGAATATAAAGTATGTTTTCTCAATGAATTATACAAAAAACAGTTAATTTTTTTTATGTAGAATACATATAAACCTGTAAAAGTTAAAATAAAAATCAAGATTGACAAAATTCAAGAAAAAAGAAAATAAAATTTTATATTTACAAATATCTCAATATTGAAAAGAGTGTAAATTAAATATTGAAAATAAATTTTATAAAATGGAAAAGTTCAGAACAACTAAAAAACATGTAAAAGAATTAAACAAAAAGACAAAACACGATAATGAGGATGTTAAAACTTAGAAATAGTAAAGAATTTAGGCAAAGCTGTAATCTAAAAAAGTAAAAATAAAAATAAAAATAGTTTTTCCATTATTTAGAAGAGATACCATATTTTTTTGTTAATACCATCATATTATTATATTTGTTGCAAATGATTGCTTTATGTTGCTTTGTGTTGATGCTTTTTCATGCCATGTTTTTTATTGTTTATTTATGTTTCTTGATTTTCACAAGTGCAATATTATCATTATGTGTGTGCTTCACACCCCACAACGCACATAAATATACATGGGGACATGAGGTTACTACAAACAAATAGAAACATGAGTAAATAAATAAATAAATAACAAATAACTATAATAAAAATCAGTTCTTGAAACAAAGCTTTAGAATCCACAAGAACAAATCGAAACACCAATTACTAATTTATTATAAATGTAGTTGCAATATAATTAATCCCAAACTGTCAAGCTTAACAAGAATATTTTCTCTACTTCTGTCAAGCTTTTTGAAGATAAAAAAAGTAGACCAGTTCAAAGAATAATTATCATTCCTTCAGTAGTACAGTGCAATGAATGCCTGAATGAAAGGCAGGAGAAGAGATGAACTACGCCTTTGTTCAATGCTTGCTTTGCACTTTCAACCATTTGGCTCACAAGGCTCCAAGTGACAATTCCTTGTGTGGTTAAAAAATAGTTACTGGATTACCTTCAGATTCACTACGGGAAGGCTTCTCAGAGTGCTACAAAGAATTCACAGTTGTGTTGAAGAACTACCTAGGGAAATCAAAAAGAATTTGACTCAAGAATTGGCCAAACACAACAAATATTGGCTTGGACGTAGCAAAAATTGATGAAGAAAAAGCTAACATTAAAAATAAAAAAGCAGAACACTACAACTAGGTTATAAACCAGCAATAACATAATTCTTATATCCTATTACACAGCCTCTACATTCAAAAGTCTCCCACGTCTATAAAGAACAAAAAGATAAACCTTTCATGGAAGGAAATTCCATAATCTTCTGCACCATGTGCAGCTACAACAAAGCAATAAAAACTAGTCATAAAAAATGAACAATGAAAGCAATGTAATGAAACAAAAAGAAACACGGTACAACAAAAATCAACAAAAAGAAACAACATGCAACAAAAATCAACAAAAAGAAACAACATGCAACAAAAATCAACAAAAAGAAACAACATGCAACAAAAATCAACAAAAAGAAACAACATGCAACAAAAAGAAACATAATATACTACAAAAAGAAAAAAAACAGTTGAAGCAATACAAAGTATATAATAGTATCCAATGAATACATATTTAACTTTTTCCCTCTTCACGATCAAAATTGTATTTTTCTTAATTAAAATGTTCAATCGTATAAAAAGATGCAAAGTGACTATCTCCCACGTTCATGTTCTACAAAGTACATATTGCTCACTCAGAAAAATCAAAGCTATTAAACCATGACTATCTTAATAGCTATACCAGTGAAAAGAAACAAATGGTCATGAAACGTATGCTTCAACTATAAGATGTCTAGAGCATGTAATAGATTTCTAAGTTAAGAATGAATGCTTACGGTGGAAGAAGCCTTCTTCTGCTTCAATGACTAATGCTTAGGACTCAGGTGAATACTTTCTTTAAAGCTTATAAAAGTTCCTAAAATTTAGAAAAAGAATACTCAAAATTTATTCAATATAGAGCAAGTTGTGGTTGTATTAAATGAGCACAAAAACACAACTCTATGAACTAAAACAAGAAGTCAACATGATCACCAACCGACACCTTGGTCAATCTGCATCCTTAATAGTCTGATATTCAAATTTCAATTCACGGCTCAAACTAATTTGTTTAGAAAAACAATCCTCTAAACAGTAAATTTATGTATGAAAATAACAAGTAGAAGAAATGCATACTTTATTTAGAGCCCAACTTCCCCAAACTGATAAGGGCCACAAGGATGACGAGCGCGAAAGTCAGTCCCCGCTGATCCAAACTCCCAGCCAAAAATACTACAATAAGAGCAGGCATTTTAAAATAGGAGCATGAACCATGGCAGTGGTACAAAAAATCTATATGCACTTCCATGGACACCAATGGCATTTGATAGAGTATATTTTAGAGAGAAGTGAGAGTTAGA